GATCAATCGAAAAAGTGATACTCTCCTCGCCATCTGTCAGAATCAATGTTCACATCAATTAATGCTTTGGAGGTGGCAAGGAAAAGTCGTCCTTGTATGAGGGCATGTCGGTATTCTCATAAATCTCAAGGATGATAAAATCTGTCGGATAGTAAAACTTTCCCACTCGAACTAGGACATCCTTCACTATGCCCCTAAGATGAATCACATAACGGTCAGCCAATGTGACACTCAACCTAGTAGGTTTCAATTCACCCAGGTCTTACTTCTTGTACCCTCTGTTTCCGAAGGAAGGGAGGAAAAGGAGGGGAGGTGAAGGAAAATGGGGAGGGGAGGGGAGGGGAGGGGAGATTTGGAAGTGAAGAAAATTGGGAGGAAAATGTTGTTTTAAGAAGGAAAATGGAAAGGAAAGTATGTATTGGGAATTGTGATAGATATATTATTTAATTGGTTATGTAATAGTAAAATGATTAAATGTGTATGGGTAGTGAAACAAATGTATTCTTTCTTACTAACTTGGTTCATTATTAAAAAAAAAATCTTGATTTAAAAATCTCGTTTATTTTAACTTGATTTAAAATTTTTTTCATAAAAATTGGATTACCTCTCATGTACAAGATGACATCCATTTCTTTCTAATAAGTTTATGTTTTGTGTAAAACGACGTTATGTATAATATAGATCAGTATTACGTAAGCAATTTTGTTGAACAACAAAAAAATGGTAAATAATATATATTTGCCTATCATAAGATACTTACCTAAATTATGTTGAACAACAAAAAAAATTATTTAAAAATATAAAATAAATTGGCCCAAAAGAATACGGGAGATGTACCTGTGAAGTGGAATAATTAAGAAAATATGCATCATTATCTAACCCACCGCCATCTCCTTTTCAACTTTTAATTTTAGTTTTTACGCTTTCTTTTCTTTTGATTTTAATATTACAAAATAAATATTCCCTTTTTAACCTAAATTCCTTATCGTCTGCCTTGCCAATTCATTTTTCCAATTCCTACCGAAGCTCTTCAGCAAAGACCCCAGCAGTTTCAGGTAATCCTTTCTCCTATCCAACACAGCCCGTCCCGTCTTTTTTTGTCGATTCAAGTTCATTTCGAACGCCTATGCCATGAGACTTCCTCATACCTCCGATTTAGGTTTCTTTTTCGTCGAAGACTGCCTTTGCCAGCCCGCCATTTCCAGCAAGTGAGATCCAAAAGATTGCATGGAACCTAACTTATGTTTTGGATTAACTAGAGAGCTATCTTCATCATATCCACTTGACTTCTCTAATTTGGGGAAAGAAAATAAATTGAATATTTGCTGGTTTTTGAGCGAAGAAAATGAAGAAGAGGAAAGATAGAAGAGAGAGGAGAGAGGGAGAGGTAAAAGAAACGGAGAAGAGGACATTTTCTCTCCAATTTGGGGGGTCAGGTTGAACAGTGCTCATTTCCACCTTTTCCCTCCCTTCGTTACTGTGCATGGCTTCGGGAACAAGGGAAAGTTTCTAGGAAACTCAACTTTCCTCCCTATTATGTCCTTCCCCTCCTTTTCCTCCCTACAAAAACAGAGGGGTAAAGATTATATGACATGACATTGATGCTTGCTCCTAAATTTGCTAAGGATTTATCTATATGACATGTTCCAATGCAAAGGGGATAATGAAGCTACTTGGATCTTGTTGCTTTGAGGCAACTTGTTCTGGATGATGGTCGAGCACTCATTGCTCAAAGTGACTAAGGCGAGGTCTTCGAACTCCCGCTTCTTCATGAGAAGCCCATTGAGCAACTTTGCATACCTCAAAATTTTTTCCATCGCTTTCGAGAAAGGAACTGAGACGTTGACAAGTAGTGATTCGTATTTGTACATATTAGTATTTAGTAGCTATTTCTGTATTGATTCTTATTGTAATCATTAATTTTTTTATAATTATTAGTAGTATTTTACTTCCATGTGGTGGTATTTTTTTTCATTGTTATTGGGTAAATGCCACATTTGGTCACTGGGATTACTAAATCGTGTTATCATTAGTCACTAGAAAAAATTAATATCAATTTTGGTCACTCGAATTACTAAAACAGGTCACATTTAGCCACTCTCTCTTTAGCCTCCGTCCAACTCTGGTCACTCGAATTACTTTTTTTTTTTATGAATGTCACTCAAATTACTGAAACATTTCACATGTAGTCACTCTCCGTTCGCCTTCGTCCAACTCCGTTAATGGAGTTGGACGAAAACTAACATGAGAGTGACTAAATGTGAAATGTTTCAGTTATTCGAGTGACCAAAATTGATATTAATTTTTTCTAGTGACTAAGCATGATATGATTTAGTAATCTCAGTGACCAAATGTGGCATTTACCCATTTGTTATTATTTTGATCAAGGTTAAAAACTGCGCTAGGTGTAAGGCGAGCACTCGACTCCTGACATGCGCCTAAATTAAGCGTAGCCTAGGAACGCCTAGGCATTCATAGTAGAAATGGAAAATTTTCTCAAATGTTTTCTGTTTTCTAGAATACTTCATATGATTACAAGTTCATATAAAATTAGAAACACCTAATTCTTAACACTTAACATAACAAATAACAACAAAGTAGTGACCATTTCCTAGAATCACAAGTCCATAAAATCTCGAAATACTAAACAATAGTCAGTAAGCACATAGGAAAAAATTCATTCTTCATCATCCAGGTAGGTCCGTTGAGTCACTACTTCATATTTATCATCCTTAAAAGCAATCTCCTCTCCATCCTCCTCCTCTTGCTCCTCTTCAGACTCGACTTCTTCATTATGGAGCTCTCTCGCTCTTGCAATCCTACGAAGCTCATTGTGTTCACTAGCCATTGCATTTGTAACAATACTTGAAGGTGCACAGTTTGTTACCTCATCCTCATCCTCATCCACGAACACATACATACCATGGTTATCCCCTCTCTCAAATAGGAAACCTTGTGTTTCAGTTGCATCAGTACTTAAGAGAATATCAATGTTCTTCTCCATTGTCTTCTTCTTTTTGGTCATCAACCTCGAGATGAACTGTAAATACACTAATTGATTGAGACGATCTGTTGTAATCCTATTCATTCTCTTGGTATGATCACAAGTTCATATAAAATTAGAAACACCTAGTTCTTCAAACTTAACATAACAAATAACAAACAAATAGTGACAATTTCCTAGAATAACAAGTCCATAAAATCTCGAAATACTAAACAATAGTCTATAAGCACATAAGAAAAAGTTCATTCTTCATCATCCAGGTAGGCCCACTCAGTCACTACTTCATCATCCTCAGAAACAATCTCCTCTCCATCCTCCTCCTCTTGCTCTTCTTCATACTCGAATTCTTCATTATGGTGCTCTCTCACTCTCTCACTCCTACGAAACTCACTATATTTACTAGTCATTGCATTTGTAACAATACTTGAAGGTGCAAAGTCTATTCCCTCATCCTCATCCACGAACACATACATACCATGGTTATCCCCTCTCTCAAATAGGAAACCTCTGTGTTTCAGTTGCATTAATATTTAAGAGAATATCAATGTTCTTCTCCATTAATTGTCTTCTTCTTTTTGGCCATCAACCTCGAGTTGAACTGTTTATACGCTAATTGATGTAGATGATCTATTGTAAGCCTATTCATTCTCTTGGTATGTATGTGAAGTACAAAATGGCATTGCATGACAAATTAAGAATATGAATAATTAAATATAATCTATATAATCTATAGATAGAGAATAAAAAACTTACTGACTCATAAGTACTCCAGTTTCTCTCACAATCAGAAGAACTTGATAGGGCACACAAATTTGCAAACCAACCCAATCTCTGTCCCTGCTTATGTTTTCTGACTTGTGTCCCCTATTTCAATTAATTACAGAAATTTGAAACCAACCCTTAATTGCGTCCCCTTTTCTGTTTATCTAATTTGCGTCCCCTATTTCTAATCCCCAATTCGAGTAGCCATAAAAATTGAAAAGTGACAGGGACTTACAAAGGGCAGAAGCAAGAGGCAACTTCTCCCTGTGGCGGCGGAGCAGCAGCTGTCGGGGTTCGAGCGTCGACTTCTCCCTATATCACCGGAGCAGCGAGAAGGCAGTAGCAACAACTGGTTCGAGCAACGAATTCTCCCTGTGGCGACAAAGTGGAGAGAAGGAAGGATCAACAAATGAGACAAAGCTCGATCGATGACCTTCTTCCTGTGCTGGCTGAGCGACGAGAATGGGGCAACAGATGGTGCGAGAATTAGAGCAGTGACTAATGGAGGAGAGAAACTTCCTTTAGGCTTTATGATTCTCTATGACAGGTTAGCAGCCCAACATGTCACGAATCACGAGTAACGATGGAAAGTGGTAGAGAGGACGAAAACGACAGTGTGTTGGAATCGGTCAACTAGCTCGCTTCAACGCGCCTTGGGATGCCTTCTCTCCTACTAGGCGCAAATTAGGCGCAATTCCAACCTATTAAGTGCTATGAGCACGTTTTACAACATATATTCCCAAGTCACGGCATTTTACCAATGCCTTGCGCCTAATCGAGCCTAGGCGTGCTCCTAGACTCGCCTTCTTGAAGGTTAATTTCAAGTAATGATTCTTACTAAAATTCGACAATTAGTATTAATTAAAAATTGCTAAAACACCGCTAGTTAAATTAAAATAACTATGTATTATAGGAAAAGTAATATAAGCCAGCAAAAACTGCCAACTTAAAGGGTTGGGTTGTATATCTTTTTTAGTAGTAATTTTTTTGGGTAATTTAGTATTTAATTTTTTTAATTTACAAATTCTTCACTAGTATCCAGACTCTCCACCATCATACTTAACTTAAAAATAATGAATAATGATTATATCATATTTAATTAGCATGATACTAAGTTACTAACCCAAACGGAAGAAGCTGCTCGTAATTTACTAATATTTGTGTAATAATGTCTTTTGTAAAACATTTTAATATTTTACAGTCTCCGCTTCCCGTCTCTCCTCTTTTGTTTTGCTTTTTTCCCACTTTCCGTTTAGTTTGTCTTACGTTTGGTCCTCCGTTCGATCCGACCCATCAGACGGTCTTACCGTGCGTTTTCTACTGTTATTCACCCTGCATTTCCTAACAGTTTTCAGCTCCAGCGTCGGAATTCTCAATCTCCGTTCACCGTCGTCTTCGTCCATCCATGGTAATGGCCGCCACCGCTCGGACCGTAGAGGAGATCTTCAAAGATTACACTGCCCGAAGAGCCGGCCTTGTTCGTGCCTTAACTGACGGTAAACTGTTTTCGACATGCCTTTCTCAGTTTTGTATCCTCTGTTGAACGATTTTTCCATCACGCCTTGTTATTCTGGTTTCTCTTCTCAGATTCGGACGAATTCTACGCACAGTGCGATCCAGGTAAACTCCAGATCGGGAAATTCCTCTTTTTCCCCCGCGGTTCCCATCTTTTCCTTTCTGTTTGGTTCTCGGGAAAACCGAGAGAAAAGTAGCACGGTCGAAAGCTCGCTGTTTCGATCTCGCTAAGTTTTATTGAATTTTTTTATACCTGAATTTACTTGCTGAAAATCACCGTTTACGTTGCGCATTTCTGTATCTCACATTGCTATGTATAGGCAGCGTATAATGAAACAGTGTGTGATTAGTAGGGGGTTTGAGTGTGATGTGAGTGTATTTACGCAGAAAAGGAGAACCTGTGTCTGTATGGACATCCAAACGAGAGGTGGGAGGTAACTCTGCCGGCGGATGAAGTGCCACCGGAGCTACCTGAACCTGTTCTTGGTATCAATTTTGCTAGAGATGGCATGAACCGCAACGACTGGCTTTCCCTCATTGCTGTTCACGGTGATTCTTGGCTGCTCTCAGTGGCTTTCTACCTCGGTGCTCGTCTTAATAGGAACGATAGGTACCTTTTTTTCTTGCTTGAGCCTGTGGGTAGCTTTGTCACTTGATGGAAACTAGGTTTACTGGGCTTGTTTTGTTTGTTCCTTCATGCTAGTCAATGCAAGCACTGTTCATTTTGGGTACACCACTGATGACCATCGAAATTTAGAGTCCACTGGTTGTATGGAGTTTACTCAGCTGTCAGCTGCATCGTTATTCTCATAACAATTCGCTGGACATTTCCCTAGTTTAATTTTAACTGATGGTGATTTAAGTTGTCCTGCAGACTTGAGCGATTCTATAGCAGATTTTTTGTTTGTTTATTTTGAGCTGAAGTGGCTGAGCATCTGGGTGATATTCTGTGCAAAATTCGTCTATGCTCACCACAACAACTCCCTTCCATTTTTACTACCTTTGTTGTTATTTCTACTTTAGGCCATGTTACCTTGCAGCCCATGTGTGTACCTTGAGTTTGGTTTGATATGCTGTTGGAGTTTATAGTATATTGGCACTTTGGTTCCATAAGCCACCTTAAATCAAGAGAGCTATCACAACTCAGTTCGGTTGCTCATTGCTTTGATTGATGCCTGATGTAGCACGGTTTACAGAGAACTGAACTGAATTGTGATTTTACAGGAAACGACTTTTCAGCATGATCAATGATCACCCTACTGTCTTTGAAGTTGTAACAGACAGGAAGCCCAGAGAAAAGCCCAGTATCGATAGTGGAAGCAAATCTCGAGGGAGCACTAAGGTTTGATTGATTTAACACTCAATTTGTTAGAATGCAAATATTCATTTTCTTTGAGGCTATATGTGGACTATCAGAATATTTCTTGACTGTCGCTCGTGCAAGCTATAATCTTGTATGTCGCTACAATGCTGGTCTACTGAAGTATTGCATAGCCTTCAGCGATGGGCTGCTCAAATCTTCTACTTTCAATTCCTGAATTTTATTTTGTCTTCAAGGCTCATTGACCATTCTCGAATTATCTGCAGAGATCAAGCGATGGGCAAGTGAGAAGCAATCCCAAACAAGAAAATTACCATGCTGCTGAAGATGAACACACGGATACACTTTGCGGAAGCTGTGGTGGAAACTACAACGCTGATGAATTCTGGATCGGATGTGACATCTGCGAGAGATGGTTTCATGGCAAGTGCGTGAAAATAACCCCTGCCAAAGCTGAGACCATTAAGCAGTACAAGTGCCCATCATGCTGCATCAAGAGGAACAGGCCTTAACCCACTTTGCTATCGTGCCTCTTACCTGCACAACAGACTAGTCAATTTAGTCTTATTAGTATCATTTACACTTCCTGTAATGCATTGTTACAAAAATGCCTTTTATTTATTTTTTATCTGTAATCCTCATGTTCTCTAATGTCAGCTATTTGTAATCTAATCTCCTGATGTATGAAAAGTGCTTCAATATGACTTTGGTTATTCGGCCTCACTCTTCTCTCAAAATTCATCCATATCTGCATCTGGTGCACAACTTTGCTAGTTTCTGGGTTCTTGATCTCTACTGAATGGTTCTATTTATTGATGCAGACAAAATATCCGCCGGAAGTGCCAAGCAAGTCTGAACGTGAAGAAGCATCATCAGCCAAATCTCTGGAAGAAGACAAATATGAGGGAGAGGTGGGACAGTTGTTACTGAGCTGTACAATACGATTGGCGGGATGGTAAGTACTTCCTTCAGAGTCCTTGAAATACTTGGATCAAGAAATTCAAGCTCAGATGGACTCTGCACGACCTTGCTTGATTTTGTCCGGCAACTAGAGACAAGACATTGGCTAGGATCTGCACACCATAAGAAACCATATTTCCCTTTTAGTTCTTCACGTCTGCCCCCCCATCTCCCTTCTCTTGTCACTTTCCCTAGTTTCCAGATTGTTTCGGTTTACTCTTTCTCTTGGGGTCTGGCTTCCTTACCTTTATAACTTCCTCATCACCAAAGCAAAGGGGGTTCTATTCTTCTCTGCAGTGCTTGAGCTGGGGCTGTGTGCTGCATTTCACTCAAGCACGGCCGCTGGAGTTGGATCGTCCTCTACCTGTAGACAATGGGTTCCAGTCGCTCTGATGGCGCCGGTAAAGAGCGACTGCGGTGGACGCAAGAGCTACATGACCGGTTTGAAGAAGCTGTTAACCAGCTTGGCGGCCCTGACAGTATATAAGCTCTCTCCTTTCTCCTAAACCAACATGCATTGCTCGTTTCTTTGTAGCGCCGTATAGATATGTTTATATATTTGCACAATTGTTCTGGCAGGGGCAACTCCGAAAGGGATCCTGAAGGCTATGAGCATTCCTGGACTCACCATCTACCATGTCAAGAGCCACTTGCAGGTAAGAAGTCTCAATCTCAGAGATGACCTAAGGGTTGGGTTGGCGAGTTAGTGGGCTGATTGGTTTACCGGTTAGGTTTAAATGGGTTATGTTAACTGGGTCGATGGGTTGTTGTTCACATTCTCTTGGAAATTTGTTGTGGGTTGAAGCAGATGTAAGGCAGTAAGAGTGGATGTGTAAAATTTTAGATTTGGGTGTTCAATTGTAGTGGAATCTTCAAAATGGGTAGCATAAATAGTGTAAACTTTCGTCATCTAGAATGAATGGGTAGTTGGATTTAAAATTCCGGATCAGTTTGTAGAGTACTAGAATTTTATGTAGTAAGATGTGAGGATATAACTGTTTCTGATACTAAAATGTAATTTAATGCAAAATCTTCTGTCACTATATTACGTCTAGGCAGTAGGCACTAAAATGTAATGTAAGACGCAAACTTTCATTCAGATACTACATAAATAATAATGTTGCAGAAATCCATTAGTCCAACCCGTTTATCCAGCAACATACTCGGTTCTCTTTTTAACCTTTCTCCATTCTGCTTGTTTTTGTTACCTCTCCAGAAATACAGGATCTCAAAATTTATCCCAGAAACACCCAACAGTAAGATTCTGCTATCATATTCCATCACTGAAACTTGCCACAATTACCATGGTTTAATAAATATACGTATCTCTCGTGTACTTGTTAACATTGCAGGAGGGATGGAGAGAAGAAACATTTCAGAGATGCTGCCGAATTTCAGTGCCACCTCGTAAGTACCATTCCTAAGCCAGCTCGCAGGTTTTCTGCATAAGAAGCCACTAACGAACGAAATCTTTCCCTTCTCTGTCACCCAGAGGCGCTCAACTGAACGAAGCACTGCAAATGCAGCTGGAAGTGGAGAGGCGGCTGAGCGACCACCTCGAGGTTCAGAGAAACCTGAAGCAGAAGATCGAAGCTCAGGGGAGATTCCTGGAGAGGATCGTGGAGGAGCATAGGAACAGAGCTGCTTTCTCCAAGCCAAGGCCCTTCCCTGCCATGTCGTTGCCATCTCTGTGTGATGAGTCCGAGTCCAACACCAAGGAAGATGAGTCAGACTCAGAAGGAGACCGTCTGGAAGTTCAGTCAGCAGCGGATTTCAGGGCTATGAAGAGACTCAGGGCGGAGAACGACATTCTGCCGCCGCGCTACAAGATTTCTTCTTCTTCCATGGCTGCTGCGGTGGAGCCCTACTCGGCGGCTGTTCAGAACATGATGTTTCAGAAAGATGCCAAGTTCTCGTACCCAACTCAAGGGATCAACTTTGCCTGGAACAATATGTCATGCCCCTCCCCATTGGTACCTAGCTTTTTCTGAACTCAACCACACAAAAAAGGAACTAATACATTATTTGGATTGTTTCTTTTTTATTTCTTTTATTCCAAAAAAGAAAAAAAAAACGTGAAATAGGCTGTTTTGGGAGGATTGAATAACGGAGAAACTCCATAGAAAGAAAAAGAAAGGAAAAACATTTTCGCACCATTATTTATCTTGGATGTCTAGCAATAAGCATCCTAATTTGACGCACTTTTTTCTTTTTACGTAAAAGGTTGATGTATTGTTATCATCCTATCCTATGTAACAACGTGGTACTGTTAAACGTTTAAAGTAAAAATGTCTGGTATGTCGTTTTATATTCTTTATATAAGTAATAAAAGAATTAAACATTTTCGCACCATTATTTATCTTGGATGTCTAGCAATAAGCATCCTAATTTGACGCACTTTTTTCTTTTTACGCAAAAGGTTGATGTATTGTTATCATCCTATCCTATGTAACAACGTGGTACTGTTAAACCTTTAAAGTAAAAATGTCTGGTCTGTCGTTTTTATTCGATCTATTGGTAAGATGAATTCATCTTATTTGTTATTATTCCATGATATTCAGTTTATTTATATTTTTAAATGATTTGGTGCATTCTCAATAGTTTATTAGAAAGTCAAAATAATTTTTGTACTACTTGATAATTTTGGTATTGGTAATAATTAGTTAATATGTATTTTTTGACCGAGCTATCCTAACTTACTACTATATATCTACATATATTTAAAGTTGAATGAGAAAATTACAATCCCCATTTGAAATTTTGTGGCCGAAGAATGATTCTAAGAAGGTTCATTTAGTATTTGTACCCAACTTATTTATTTACATATTAAAAAATGGATTACTGGAATTTAAGCCGAGGTCACTCAAATGAAAACATAGCATTATAAGTTTATAAGTTATAACCAACTATAAGGGTATTACTATCTAAATAGTGATCGATGTTATCATCATTTTCATTTAGTTATACTTAATAAATAGATCACATCTTAATTAATTTTGAAACAAAGCCTCCGAAAATTCATTGGAAGGCCCTGCTTGTTATCCTAATTGTATTATATAATTATCTAGGTATAAATACCCTTGGAACATTTCCGACAAACTCAAGGAATTGGAGAAGAACCAAGAACGAAATGAAATGGGGCTCCAGGTTCTACAAGAGAAAATCTATTATCTAACGCAGCTAGTGGAGGAGAAGGAAAAAGGGAAAGATAAAGGAGAGCAGTTCCCCACATAAGTAAAAGATGGGGACTTAGATAACACTAATTCATCAAAGTCGGAATCCCCGACTGTTGGGAAGAAGTTCAGATCGGTTGATAAGATTTCTTCCGCACCTTACCCTTCTAGATTGAGAAATGATGCCCTGAATAATGAATTTGCAGAGTTTGTAACTCTATGAAGCAAATTCAGATCGACATCCCATTTTTGGATGATGTGACTCAGATTCCCAAATATTCAAAACATGTGAAGATTTTGTTGACCAAGAAGGAGAAATTAGGGGAGATCTCGACTTGTGAAATCAACGGGATGAGCTCCCCCGCGCTTCAGAGCAAGCTCCCTGAGAAGAAGAATGATCCAGGGAGTTTCACTTTACCTTGCATGATTAGTGGTTTCTTGTTTAAGAAATGGTTAGCAGATTTACGGGCTAGAATTAATGTCATGCCTTATCAAGTCTTTAAAAAGTTAGATGTAGGTGAACTAGTTCCTACGCAAATGAACATCCAACTAGCTGACATGTCTATTGTTTTCCATAAGGGCATAGTTCAGGATTTACTTGTTAAGGTAGATCGTTTCATATTTCCAGTTGATTTTGTTATCCTGGACATGCCTAGAATGTCGATGCCCCTCTCATTCTTGGTAGACTAGCAACAACTAAATCTGTTATTGATGTTTACAATGGTAAAATGACACTAAGGTTAGGGAAAGAAGAAGTCACATTCACAAATCAAGCTAGGATGCAACCCAATGAAGAGTGTGATGAGTTGCATTTATCAGAAGATCTACCTAATTTTTATAGTGTATCTTCTTCCCTTTACACTGAGTCTGATGATCCTCTTGAACAATGTCTTGTACTAGGTACGAAGATTGCATTGGAGATGAACTTGAACGAGCATCTAAATGCATTGAATAGTGGAATTGGTGGAGAAGCGGATGAGAAGGTGGAAACTCTACCGGAAATAAAGCGAATTGCACCATCAATCGAGGAACCAGCGAGCCTAGAGTTGAAACCTTTACCAGAGCATCTTGAATATACTTTCTTGAGGAAAGACTTAAAAGTTCCGGTAATTATCAATGCGAATCTCACGGTTGAGCAGAAGTCAGCCCTCATTCAACTCTTATGGAAACATGAGAAGGCTATAGCTTGGAAAATAACAGAAATCTAAGGGATGAGTCCATCTTTCTGCACCCACAAAATCAACATAGAGGAAACGAGCAAGCCGGTGATTCAAACTCAACTTCCTCTCAATCCAAACATGGTGGAAGTGGTCAAGGCCGAAATAATCAAGTTGCTCGACGCATGTATCATCTACCCTATTTTGGATAGCACCTCGGTAAGTCTAACTCAAATGGTACCCAAGAAAGGATGGATGATAATTGTCCCAAATGACAACAACCAAAACATCGAACTTATTCCTACAAGGACAATCACAAGATGGCGGGTTTGTATCGACTATCGAAGGCTTAATGAGGTTACTAGGAAGGATCATTTTCCACTTCCATTTCTAGACCAAGTGTTGGAGCGACTCGCTGGTCATGATTACTACTGCTTCTTGGATGGGATGTACGGTTACTTTCAGATCCCCATCTCCCCCGAAGACTAAGAGAAGACTACTTTTACTTGCCCCTTTGGAACATTCGCTTACAGAAGAATTCCCTTTGGTCTCTACAACGCCCATGCAACATTCCAACATTGCATGTTGCTATTTTTGATAAATTGGTTTTGGAGACATAATGGAAGTTTTCATGGATGATTTCTCTATGTTTGGGGATTCTTTCGGCCTTTGCCTTTTAAATCTGGAGAAGGTGTTGGAGCGATGTGTAGAAACTAATCTCTCACTCAATTGGGAGAAATGCCACTTCATGGTTCAAGAAGGGATGGTACTCGGACACAAGATATCCATGAAAGGTATTGAAGTGGATAAGGCGAAGGTCGAAACCATTAGCAAGTTGCATCCGCCTACTTCCGTAAAGGGAATTTGGAGCTTCCTCAGGGATGCCGGTTTTTACAGGAGATTCATACAAGATTTCTCAAAGATCACTCTCCCTCTCACAAGATTACTGGAGTACATAGTTTTTCATTTTTCTGAAGGATGCAGGGAAGCTTTTGAGACATTGTAGAAACGACTGACAACTGCACCAATTATGGTCACCCTGGATCAGACACTTCCTTTCGAGTTGATGTGTGATGCAAGCGACTTTGCCGTGGGAGCAGTCTTGGGTCAGCGAAGAGACAACCACTTTCAACCCATTTTCTATGCAAGTAAGGGGTCGTTTGGAAGTTGCAAATGTTAAATCGTTGTATTGTAATGAATCACAATAATATAAATGCATGTATTGATAAAATGGATGCATTTTAACAATACATTGTTTGGTTGTTGAGATTCTACTTTATGCATTGATTTACATAAAGTTATTTTTATGGGGAAATGTCACATTTACCCTCAGATTTTAGAATAAGACAAAAACTTTTAGGGATATAAATGGTAAGAAAAAGTTGACACAAATCTAAAACCAAAAATCACAACAATCTCAACTTTTAGTTGAGATTCTATAATGCATCATTTTTTGTGATTATTGGTGGGGCCTACCTAAAACAATGCATGCATTGTTTTACACTTTGACACTTCCAAACATTGTATTGTGCACAATACATGTATTCAATAAACACAACTCTAACAATCACAACTTCCAAACGACCCCTAAGACTCTGAATGATGCTCATGAGAATTACACAAGACTAGGGGTCACCGGCAACGCCCCGTCCAGCAAAGACTGATCCACCTCTATTCCTACTTCCCTAGAATATATAGAAGGGTAAGAAGAATGGTTACCTCCACCTTCGATATCGATAACTGCCTGAGCGACGATCTTCTCGGTGGACATCTTGAATCAAGAACACGCGAACGGCGGCAAAACAGTGTTCGGAAGCGAAGACGCGACAACGAGCAACGAAGAGGAAGCACAAAAGAAAGAGAAGCACAACAAAAATCCAAAAGAGCACCAGATACTAGTCGGACAAAAAAAAAACAGAGAGCCGCAGAACGTCATTGGACAAAGAGACAGGCAATTGCGAAAATCCAAAAGAGCACCAATACCAGTCGGACAAGACTGAAGTTAGAAGTGCAGAAATGGACAGTCAAGGTGTTACTTACCGCGAGGTATTCTCAACTGGGGGGGATAAAATACAACCGTAAAAAGCCAAGCGCGGTGTACGAAAGCCAACACAAGAGGTACTCGCGACTACTTCCTGCTAGGGGGAAATTGTAGGGGGAAAGACTACAAAAAGCGCGTGAGCTACGCTTAACCATCCATTCGCGCGGTTACCTACCGCAACGTAAAAGACCACTCAACACTCGCATCGAAACGATCACCCGAGGGGTATCCACTCTGACAGCCATGTCTTGTTGCCATGATTTGCTCTCCTAACTAAAGAAGGCTATAAATATAACATTCACTACACTTGAGCAAGGGATTGGATTTTTGGGGAAGAACCTTATCTCTCTATAACTCTCCTTTTATCTATTGTCTTCAAGTTCCTCCAACTCTTTCCTCCTAGTTTTCGAATACAGTTTGGATCCTCATTGTATTCCTTCTTTATTTAATAAAAGCATTCTATCCCTTCTTCTCAGTTGTCTACACCTCCTACTCAATAGCCATACACAAACACAAACTTAAACCTATAATCATACAATATAGGGTAATGTCTATTTTTTATCCAAAACTTTTTCAGATTATTTTATATTATCCAAACCTATTAAAATTCTATTAATTATCTAAATTTTTCATAATTCATCAAAATAATTTTGTAACTCTTTTCTTAGTTAAAATATCAAAATTTTGAAATGTTGACCTTCATGAGTCTCTTTCAAGTCAGTATCATGTTGCCAAGTCGATATTAATAACAAAATTGCTAACTGAAAGTTAACATTTGGCTAATTCTTAGTATTTCGATAGGTTTAGATAATATAGAAGAATTCGAAAAATGTTTGGCTAAAAAATAGACATTACCCTACAATATAAATAGAGGTGATAATTTCCAATTCAATCCACCAATCCAATCCAATCCAATCCACTTAAATATCCAACTAATCCAATCCATTTGATCAAAATCCAATTGGATGGGTGGATCCAAATGACAAATTATGATTTTGTACCTACACTTTTTATATTTTGAACATAAATTTCATTGGAAAAATATATTTTGGTACCTGAAATTTTTATTATGACATTTTAGTACCTAAACTTTTCAAAATTTACATTTTGATCCAAGATTTGGATGTCATTTGGATCCATGGATCAATCCACCAAAATATATATATATATATATATAAATATATATATATATATTATATAGATCCAATCTATGAATCCACAAATTTACTGATCCATGGATCTACTCCACTCCAATTGCCATCTCTATATATAAGTCATAAGACTGACTTAACTAAGCTAGGGACTAATACAACTAGGACAATCATTCCAAGAATAAAATGGTAAGTAGACTAGGATAAAGAGTTATCATTCGAAAATTTCTAGACAAATTATTGCATTTGCTGGCAGGTTTTTTTATTGTGAATTTGCTACAAGTTCTGACATATCACAGATCAATATCAGTAGTTTGGTCTACTCAAATTGTGGGCTGGTCGATGAGTCCATACTCCACTTTATAGCTTTACTTTCGTCATTCTTTTCATTACCCGCAGTTAAATGTATAGTAAACGTAATAGCTAACGTTATATCTCAACGAAAGCCAAGTATTTTAAGCACATGCATAAAAAGCAATTTTATGAAAGAAAAAGGTGCTGAAAGACTCAAAAGTGGCGACTCTAAATTCCCCCCATATGCATATCAGTCAAACTAGCACAACAGCACACGACGAGGATTCATTGGTGGTAGGCCATCACTTTCGTTTATTTTTCGACGCACCAAATTATTTTCTTGGGCCCTAACCCACCCATGTTATCATGTTATACACAAGCCATCAAACTTGTTATATGAAAGCTTAGCATAAATCTATTGTATTTTATACGTATGCGTTATATTTATTAGATAGATTTCAGTATATTTTAATGAATCAAAATTGTATTTTTATTATTTTAAATTAAATAAATTAGATAGTTTAGGAGAATTATGAACCGAGTTAGAGTATAATATCATATCTTATCCAAATTACAGTTGTTCCATGGTCGGAATATTGATCTAAACATAAAAATTCGACGAGGACTCAATAGCCAATCATATATATATTCCAACATGTGCGCGTACGTACCTAAATCGGATTCCCACATCTATCACTCCATTTCACATGCACATCACGTTATGTATATATGTGGCTATTATTATGCTTTTCTAGACACTTTAGCCTAATAATAATAACCTAAAAAAACCCCAAGTTGGATGGTATTTGAGTATGCCGAATCACAGAAGTGAAATGTTTTTTTTTTCTTCTTCCTTCGATATTATTAAACTTTTATCTTTAATCATATATATAGTAATGCTTGTTGACTTGCAGGACGACATGCAAAGCTACACCAAACAAATTTAAGTCGGACAAGCAATTCACTCAAATGACCAGTAAATTACCCAATCACGTTTCAGAATCGAGAATGAGGAAACTGTATAAATGAGAAAGAATTATATCGGGAAAACGTGGAGGTCTAATATAATGTATGCAAATTGAACCAATGTATATATGTGGGGGAAGGCAGACAGTGTCCACAAATTTTATCATCGGAAAAGGGGGGGACAAGCCAGGCAAAAGAGGGAAAGAGGCCTTCCATGGAATGCTGAATTTACTCATTTTTCGAAAGCAATAATTTCCGCAAGTACGTACCCCCTTTAGAAAAGAAAATGACTAGACATAAATATGCATATATTCTGCTTTCTTCAATAGGCACACAGACGCTGTAGCTAGCATGCACCATTGGCATTGAATCCTCTTCCTTCCTTCCTACTTCTCATATCATATCATCAATCATTCTACAGTTTTGCGCCCTAGAAGGAAGTATAATATATTGCTAGCTCCAGAAAATTACATAATATTTTGCATGCCTAAATCAACCCTAGATCCTAATATATAATTCACTCGGTTCAAACCATCACAAGCATGGGACGCCCGTTCAAGCTAGCTAGCTAGGGTATACAACATTTGTATGCTTATTCCTAGAGAGAGAGAGAGAGAGATGAGTTGTACATAAATATTGGAGAATTTAATATAATTAAGTTTACATGATAGTAATGAATAATCTTAAAGGACTAATTCCGGCTAGAAATGGATGATGACTTGATGGATTCAACTTGAGCCTTGCCACAGGGGCCCTTGGTCCTAATGAAGAGCCTGTATTCATTGAATGTCATGGAAGGGTATAGAGCTGGCTGGTCAGGCTTCACTAGCTCCTTCGATGGCCCAATCAGGAGGTCACCCCTAGGGTTGTAGAAGAAGGCCAGGGACACCCTGTCCTTGGCCGAGTTCACTATCACTCTGTGCTCCACGCTCTTGTATATCGCATTACTCAACACCTTCCAAAAAAAATTTTAATTATTGAACCAAGAAAGGTATCCATCAGTACTAATTATTAAAATGAATAATTTTATTTAAGAGTTGGAGAGAAGGGTAAAGGATGAATAATGACCTGAATCTGGTCCCCGATGTTGATGATGAAGGCACTGGGGACGGGCTTGACGGTGACCCAGTTGCCGGCTTTCCTGACCTGAAGGCCGGCGACGTTCTCGTCGGGCAAGAGAATGGTCATGCCGCCGGGGTCGGAGTGGGAAGAAAGCCCCAAGGTGAGGTCCGGCTGAGGGCATTTCGGGTAGAAATTGACCCTCAGGCACCCGCCGAACTCCTCCCCTCCAAACGCGTCCTGGAGGCCATCCTCTTGGAGGCCGAGGTTGCTGGAGAATATCTTCATCAGTTTCCCTCCCAGCTTGCTCACTTCCTTCCCGTATTCACCCACCAAGTCCCTGTAACAAACAACCCACAATATTATTATTTTTGTTTTTTGTAGCCATAGTGATTGCTTGGAGTTAGTTAAGGGTACGTTTCCACACATCCAATATTATTATTATTATTACAAAAATAGCACATGTGATTAATTGATTATTGACTATTGTTGTTATGTAATATCATCAACGTGCTCTTATTTGTGCATGTGGTGATGACTTTTTCGAGCTAGGGTAATCCAGACAAGCCAGAAAGTAGTTGCCCTCTTGTCACCCCCATTAAATTTAAAACCCACGTTGCATTAGTCGGACACGAAAAAAATAAATATCCTACACGACACGTGTTCACATTCATATGGGTGCTGGTCCGTGGGCAAATAGCCCGCCGTGTTGTATCAATTATATTGTGTCAAGGAGTTGACCGGCGCCGGCGGGAGGGTCGTTTCGTTTCGCTTCGTTTCATTTCGCTTCATATAATAATATGAGTAAATAAATGGGAAAAGATTGATTATGGAAGGTCATTTTATTATGTTAAAAGGAGCGCAACCACCGAGCGACCAAAGCCAAAGCCAAAGCCCATGCATTATTATTATTATTATTAACGGACCTGCAGGTTTCCGGGAACTGGGGCCACTTGCCGGGGTTGCGGAGCTTGGCGGGGAGGTAGTGGAGGAAGAAGTAGTCGCTCCAGTCGAGGGTGGCGCCTTTCTCGACACCGAGGCGGCTGCCGTAGCCTTCGTAGGAAACGGGGTCGTTTGCGTACTGCTGCTTGGAGTCGAGTGGGAGGTCGAAGAACTCCCGCCAGATCTCCCGGATGTTCCGCATCAGCTCCACGTCGACACCGTGGTTGACCACCTGGAAGAACCCCCAGTCCTTGCACGCCGACGACAGCCGCCGCATCGTCTCCGACCGCACGGCTGCGTCGTGGGAGAAGGCCTCCGCCAGGTCGATCACCGGGATGTTGCTGACCACCGCGTTGTGGTTGAGGGATGGGCGGTGGGAGGGTGGCTTGACGTAGCGGTCGGGTATCTTCCGGATCCCGCTCTCGGATAAGGACTGGACTCGGACCACGGGTTCGGGCCAGATGCAGTTCATGGCTGTTTCTTTTGGGTTGAAGGGTTGGTTGGTTGGTTGGTTGGGGGTGTTAATTGTCTTGGAAGTGGCTGAGGAGGTTTGAAGAGATATGGTGGTGGTGGAGGGTGGGCTTGTATTTATAGCCGGGGGAGTCAGACAGCCAGCCCCATTACTTAATTAGTTGAGCGCCTTGATGGGATGGGTAATGGCCTAATGGGTTGGGTTAATTAATAATTTATAAATAGCTAGCTATTTGGATATTAAGTATTAACCTCCTTGTGGTGGGGATCTGCTGTTTTACCTTTTTTATCCGAACCGCACCTGCTTCAAGGATAACTTCTAACGCAATGCTACAAAAAGGAGTTAATGGAAGCAGGATCCCATGAATAAGGGTTCTGAGGGTTACTTAGTTACGTGACTAAGCTCTTCTAGTCCTTAGATATGGAAAGATCAATCTAACGGTTAAAAAGTGGGAATTACTATTTAATTAATGACAGAGGTAGTTTGGGTATTATATAAAACTACGAAGTATACAAACCGGACTTACAATCAGTACAAACCATACAAACAGTACAAACTACAACGACAAAACATACAAACAGATTTACAAACATTACATACAAACGTATGAAATGTACAAACAATACAAACTAGACCGACAAACCATATAAAAAAGAAAAGCAAACGGGTTGATTTTAAAGACTCCATCCCTATATAGAGGGCTTCGTCCCAAAGTCAACCCGGTTGTTTTTTAGACATACAAACATTACAGACATGGTGGACAAAAATGACAAACTATATAGAGGAGTTCCATCCAAAAGTCAACCATTGTTTTTTAGACATAAAAAAACATTACAAACATGGTTGACAAAAATGATAAACATGGTGCACAAAATTAACAAAGTTGACAAACATTACAAAAGCATCCGACAAACATTACAAATAACAAAGCGTACAAACATTACAACAACAAAAAAAGACAAACAGTACCAAGCATACTAACGTACAAAATAACACTACTTACAATACAAATCGGTAAAATATTATTACAAATCAATGAATACAAAGTATACAAATCATAACATAAAAGTATACAAACTAGAGCAACAAATATTATAAATTAAAATATATACAAATTTGTCATGTAAACATTACAAACACAATAGACAAAAATAACAAACTAGAGGGGAGTTCTACGGTACCCAGGGTAAAATCCGGGGTACCGCATACCTTGAGTTAGAAAACGCTATCCAGAACTTGAATTAACTGATGTTTCGGACATGATACTATACTCTTACCCTTAAAGATCAAAAGGTCTTAATTCTCTAAATCTTACACGCCAAGATCAATTTAATTAGAAATAATAATCGACGGTTATGATTCGTCCAAATGTAAGCAACAAATAATGGACCATCTTAGGGTTTATAGTTTATTATTTAGATAATTAGGACATAGGGTTCACTCATTAAGGGTTAGGGTACCCAAAAATCCTGCTAATTCGAGGTCTAGATAGTGTTTTCATACTCAAGGTATGCGGTACCCCGAATTTCACCCGGGGTACCGTAGAAGGCATCCAAACTAGAATGATAAACGATACTAAGCGAATTGATACAAACATTACAAACTGGACTTATAAACATTACAAAATAGGTCTACACACATTACGAATTCAGTACTATCGCCGGAAAATCCGTGCCTACCGGAAAACCCACAAAAAATCTCTCTCTCTCTCTCTGGGAATATCACTTGGGTTTGGACATAAAAATCCCACCTCTGCCGGCGGGAGGATTTCCATAAACGGACCGGCGATGGGAGCATGGCTCTCTCTCTCTCTTCGAGAATATCACTTGGGTTGGGACACAAAAACGGACCGACGATGAGAGCGCCAATAGGGCTGTCATTTTTATTTATTTTGTTTTAATTGATAAATAATAACTTATGTAATTACCATCTTACCCTTCATTAAACTAGATAAATCTAAACCATTAGATTTTAATGAGCTTCAATAGCTGAGATTGGCTTAGTCATGTGACTAAGGGACCCCTCCTAGTCACCTGATCTTGGTCTGAGTTAATGGGCGATTGTTATTACTTTAAATTATGACAAATCAGACAAGAGTGTGAAGGTCTGGAGTATTGGTTTTGGTCTCCGCCCCTAAACAAACCATCAACGATCTGTATTTTTACAACCAATGGTTTATAATCAGTTATATTGGTGCAATCACTAGCTAGATCTATTGTTTGGAAGGAGGCTAAAGCCTTATTGACGATTCTAATTACTAAATTTGTACAAAATTTACATGTAATATTACCTATATATCAAAATTGATGGGAGCTATACCTAACACCCCTTATAGTTTCAACATAATCCCACCAATATACTAATTTTAACTACTCGTCCTAATTTATAGTAATTGTCAGAATAGAAGTGTGCAAGCGATAATTCAAATCAACACAAACGAACACAAATTTATCGTGGTACACTAACACAATGTGTGCTAGCTAATCCACGGGCATGCGAGAACAAATTTCACTGTTTGAGGAGAGTACAGGTTACAAACCAAATTCCTGAATGAACGAAAAAACCAAACAAACTAACCTGACTGACTTTACTAGAGATTAGGGCCGTGAAGAGTATTTATAGAACTCTTCTCCTAATTCCAAACAAAAAACCAAACACCTTTTTCCAAACATACAAGGAAAAGGTCAAAACAAAACACAAACTCAAACAAAATAGGCCAAAAACACAAAAGCAAACCCAAATCAAATTCAAATCATATTCTTACAATCTCCACCTTGATTTGAATTCTATGCCAAATACTAGATGTACCAGACGCAACCGAAGTTGCCAGATGTACCCAGACGCGATGCATATTGCCAAACTCAAACGCGATGCAGATCGCCAAACTCAAACGCAATCAAAATTTCCAGACGTACTTGACTCCTCCAAATCGACCGTAACAGGATCTCCACTGCCTTCAAATGCCCCTAAGGGCGGTAAACAACTCAAACCATTCGGCAAATCCAACTCGTGATGCGACTTGCCATTCAGAACCAACTTGGTGCACTCATTACCAACAGAACACATCAAAACAAAACCTAGTAGATTATACAAGGCACCCCGCTTGACACCTTTCAAAATCACCTTAGAACCCTTGTCGACATATATCACTCCACCTTCACTTTTGAAATTGAAACCCTTTTTGTTAGACCTGGAAAATTACAACCCGACCCGAACCCGTCCAAAAAGTAGAAGTTTTTATAACCCAAAACCTGAATGACCCAAACCCGATAACCCGTGATTTTTTGGGTCGGAATGGGTGGGTTAGCGGGTCGACCCGTTAGACCCGTTGCATTTTATATATCACTCCTAAAATGAAAAAAATCACTCGCAAATTGGTGAGATGTTTGAAAAAATTCACAAGAATTTGAATGACATGTGTGGCGTTTAATGATAATCAAATATCAAGTATTTCTTGTAGTAGTATTACTCTTGTGATTGTTTTTTTGATGATTTTCGCAATTTGTATTTAATTTCATTAGAATGGGAGGATTTGACAATATGTTAATTGACTTGTGTAAGGTAAACTATTGTCATGCATATGTGACAATTTGTATTCTTTCAGAAAATATGAAGCATGTTTGATATTGTTTCTGAGAGCGCTCATAATCCGAAATAACCCGTAACCCGACCCAAAACCGAATAGGTTGGGTCAATATTTGACCCAAAATTAGCCAACCGAGCATTACCCGACCGCTAACCGTATGCCCCAATCCGAAATTACCCAATCCAACCCGATTGCCAGGTCTAGTTTTTGTCTAGTAGACTCAAAGATATCAGATTCTTCGTCATCTCTGGAATATGCCTAACATTGTTCAAGGTACGAACATAACCATCATGTGTCCTTATCCTGATGGAGCCTCTTCCAACAATCTTACAGATAGCACCATTGGCCATAGAAACATGTCCTCCATCTATCTGCTCATAAGTTGAAAAACACTCCTTGCTTAGAAACATATGATAATCAGCTGCGATATCTAAATACCACACATCCTGATGATGTACCTGTTTATTCACTGCTAAGGCTAAACCATCTTCAGGATCAGAGTTAGTTTCTTTCGCCACATCAGCAAATGATTCCTTCTTCTCCTGATATTTCTTTAGCTTAGGAAAATCAAATTTCCAATGTCCTTTCTCCTTACAGTAATGATAGATATCATCATCCTTCAAACCAACAGAATTCGAATTTATATTCGCCTTCCTACTACCTGATTGCTGTCTCCTACTTCCCGTAGCAGCCAACCCAGATGCCTGATTTTCCAAACCTGAACCAGATGCCTTATGTCGAACCTCTCTAGTATGTAGAGCATATCTGACATCTTCCAAAGACAAACTATCTTTCCCAACAATAAAAGAATCCACAAAATTCTCATATGACTGTGGCAAAGATACCAACAGAATTAAGGCAACATCCTCATCATCTACTTTAACATCCATATTCCGCAGATCTAACAAGATAGTATTGAGTTGATCTATATGATTCCTGTGTGACGTACCTTCCTCCATATGCAAAGTGAACAAACGTTGCTTCATATGCAACTTGTTGGTTAAAGACTTTGTCATGTATAGACTTTCAAGCTTCAACCACAAGCCCGCGACAGTTTTCTCAGTAGCAACCTCGGTGATTATGTCATTACCCAAACAAAGCAAGATAGTAGAGTGAGCTTTCTCCTCCAAAGTACTCCACTCTTCTTCATCTAAGCTTTTCTTCTTCGATTTTCCAGACAACGGAGCCCACAAACCCTGTTGTTTCAACAGTGCTTGCATCTTGATATGCCACAAAATGAAATTGTTTCTCCAGTGAACTTATCAATCTTCATACTAATAGCAGCCATCCTTGCTATCAAGCAAACTCCAACCAAACTTCTCAGCATAAAACTTCAGTCCAGCGCAAAATTCCCAAAACCACAACCAAAGGCTCTGATACCACTTGTCAGAACATAAGCGTGCAAACGATAATCCAAATCAACACAAACGAACACAAATTTAACGTGGTTCGCTAACACAATGTGTGCTAGCTAATCCACGGGTAGGGGAGAACAAATTTCACTGATTTGAGGAGA